ATGCTCTTTTTTATCTTGAAAAATAGGTGCTATCCAATATTTCTTTCTCGAATATCTTCTTTTCTTATGTAAAAGTATAGCCATAACTACAGCTGCTTTCCTTTTTCGGGTATTTTCATAACTCATTATTTGCACATAATTTAATAATGTTTGGTTATATCAAATAATCAAATGTGAATAACTGAATTTTTCTCCATGTTGTTAACACGTAACATATGACGTTCATAAGCTATTCGAATTATTTGCTATTTCGCGGCGAATTATTCGCTACTCGTTACAAATTATTCGCAGCGAAAAATTCGCTGCATGAAAAGGCACCCTCTCTATATACTATATACCTACTCCTGCTCAGTATTTGGCGTCAAACTGCGCTGCGCAAGTCTTGCTCGGAATTTGGCGTTAATTGGAGTCAAACTGCCGCGCAGATCTTGCTCGGATTTTGGCGTCAAGTTGGCGTCAAGTTATGTACATTCGTGGTCTAAAAGGTTTGTGCACCGCTTTTTTGTAGATTTCGGAACGCGTCCCAACTTCAGGAGAGAGACAACCATTGCTTGATACGTCAGCGCCGCTACTTATTACGAGAGCAGAAGGATGGCATATACGGTATATTTAGTGCTAATTTGGCGTCAATTTGCTGCTAAATTGTTTGTTAGGTATATTATGTAACAGTTAAATTTTTTAATGAGAAATTATAACATTGATATAATATTATTGTCAATTGGCATTTATTGGGAAATCATGATTTATTCTGAAACACTAGTATGCCTGTAACTTAAGTGTTCAAAATTATTAGTCGTTAATAATTTATTACTGATCAATTAGTAATACTTTTCTATAAAGACAGTATACCAAGATATGTATTATAATAAAAAAAGAAAAATGTTAGATATAATGTAAAATATGTAAATGTAAAGTATCTTGGAAATAGTATTTACTTTTCAATAATTTTGCTTTAGTACCTCTTACACGCAAATGAGCTGAGGAATCAATTTATATTAAAAAAATTATTCTATTAAAAAAATTAAGTTAACCTAGAGAGACAAAAATACTGTACGTGCAAACATTTAATATATACTTTGTAATGCTATTACAATAGTAAACTTGTTTGTTATTGTAAACGTGTTTAAAATGTGCTTGTTTTATAAAAAATATCCATTTACGTTATAATTACGTTATAATTTTAATAAAATATTTATTTCTTATTACTGCAATAATTCCAGATTAATTGTATTATTTTCTAAAATAAGCAATTATTTTCATGATATCAGAATATAGTCACAATTTTAACATCTCATATGATTTCTGTTATATATTAATAAAATTTTTTTTGTACGAGAACGTATCTTTATGTATTTATGCTAGTCACTAAGCAAATAATATAGTAGAATGTCCTGGGTAATTTTGAAATAATATTGAAAAAAAATATTTCGCTCTTTATTAATATTATTATTTTATGTCCTCCTCGAAATCTTACAACTTTTGTCTGGTATATTTTCTCATATAATGTTTTTTTCCCAAAATGTTAATCTGTAACATTTTGTTTGATTCACACTCTGTGTGTGTGTGTGCGCATACGACGTGCGCGCGTATATATAGGGTATTTGGAATTAGATATTTGTACGATTGCGAATAGAAAGATTGTTTGGTATCTTTGTGTGCAAAATACCTGTTTTGCCCAATAGGAAATCTTGTTGTAAAACAAATTCTTTTACGACATAGGGTACGTTCATAAACTTATAAAAAAAGCGAACAACCCTTTTGTCCACGCTTGTACAAGTAGAACTTGTTAAATAAAATAATCTACTATTTTGTGAATTACTAAGATAATTATTGAAATTTTAACAAAAGGGAATCAGTTAATTTATACATATGATGCAGGACAAGTTCTGTATGGTAGTCTAATGAGACGTGTCTTGAATTTATTTATTGTTTTTTAGTAACAGAGTAAATTTGATCACAGTGAAAGGAGTTTTTTTTCGAGTAAGTACGCTCTTATATTATATACGTGATGTTCAGTTAAACTATATTTGCCTATATTTGCCTTTGTTTAAAAAACAAGTCCAGGATATATCCTTTCAGACTGCCTACAGATCTTGTCCTATCGCATCACGCGCACTAACTTACCAATTTTCTTTTATTAATATCTCAATAATTATCATGATAGTTTACAAAATAGCAAAGGATTTTTTTTTCAATTTAAGACTCGCTGCAATCATGCTAGATTGTAACGTCAAAAGCGAGAAATGACTGAAAATTCTTGTATACCATTTCCTAATAAAAAAGTGCTTATATGAAAGAACATTTAAGCTTACATGTAAAATGTTTCAAAAATTATATTTTCCCCTTAATAATCAATAAATAAGTATAACATGGATGTAGACAAATTATAAAAAATAGATTAGATTAAAGATAGATTAAAAGATAAGTTGAGATTGAAAGATGAAGATTACTTGTTATAATGTCTAGATATAGCTTCCGGAATGGAGCCGTGTCTTGAATCAGCGATATGCCGACGTTTCGCAAACGTTGCAGTTTGCATCATCAGGGCTGAGAACTCTGATACTGAGCTCCCTTGGGTAAAGGTAGTCCTTATATGCCCCCCTCCCCCCCTTTGGGTAGATGGTGTTTAGGGAGTAGGAGACGAGGCTTGAATCCAGCCAATCAGCGTATTTTAATTGATCAGCTGGTCAATTAAAAATTCAAGACACAGCTCCATTCCGGAAGCTATATCTAGACATTGTATCAATGGCCGTGAAAGCCTCAAATCTAGTATTACTTGTTATGTTAATTTTACGACTAAGGTAAAAGTACCGAATGACTGATCCAAATAGCGCCATCTTAATTTGTTTTGTACGCGTAATAAAACACAGCTGCTTAAAAGTGTCAAAAAATTCCCAGAAAGCAATCATGAAAATATATCAAATGGTTCCGTCAAAGTAAGTATATGAAAATATGACGTTATTTTCCGTGAAAGACAGTTTCAAAAGCTCATAACGAGAATCGGTCACTTTTGACTATCTACGACTGAGCTTGTTCTTAAGTATCTACTACGATAATATAACCTATAGAATGATAAAACGAGATATTTTTGGATTCTAATACAAAATGTTTTAGTTTTATACGATTAATATGAATTAAATTGAATTAAAAGATAATAAAATAGTAAAATATCAACAATTATATGATTTTTGTATAATATAATAAAGGTGGCGGATTTATGTGCACGCGTAAAAAACATCATGTACCCAAAACCGCCATAGATATATAATAACATTTTAAAACAAATTAGTAGGAGTTAAGATGCTTATTATTTTGAATTATTAAATATATATTTGAATAGATAACAGGTGTAAAAGTTTCATTTCCTTTACTGTAATTATCTATTGAAAACAGATCAGGTAAGGTGGCGTCATTTAGGACATATTAGTGACATAAATCGGGACATCCAACAATTTCAGTGGGCGTAATTCGGAACATTTACAGTTCATACTTAATTCTTATGTACATATTAATTATTTTGTTTATGTTCAATTTTTATATGTTTTTTTTGCTAATTTACAATATTAATATTAGATAAAATTCATAATTTTATATAGTATCACTCTATTTTTCTAATAATCTCTTAAAAATTAGTCTTTGTTTAGAGTGGCGTAATTCGGTACGTTTACCTTATTTATTGACTGTCAAGAGAAAAAGTTTTCGAAGCATTTTACAAATATGCTTAAATAATCATAAAAATATCTTTTTATCTGGAAATGACACGCAAGAATTTTGGACATATGTTTTTTCGTTTTTGACATCATCAATCAAGAATTTCGTGGCAAATACCCAAAAGTCTTGACAAGTTCTATTTGCGCACAACCGATCAGATACCTAAATCCAGACCTTATCAATATGTACATATATATAGGCTATCTCTCTAAAAGAAGCACTATGTAACAGGTCGTTTCTGGCCCATTGCATAAGAATGTACTCGCGTGGTACTTTTATAAAAAATTATCTTATTTGTACACACGTTACATTCATTTAAGTAATAACATAGACGAACTTATTAGTATGACATGCATATATAATTTTTGTATCAATATGAAAAATGAGGCGATATATACGGTCGCAAAGAAAAAGATCATCAATAATTTTTTAGATAATTTTGCAATCTCATCCGTTTTGCATATGGGAACATTTTTCTATTGAACGGATGAGTTTAAAAATTCATCTAAATATTACGGACAATCTTTTTGTCCATAACTGTATGCCCTTAGCACTGTGCATTGTACCATACTTAAGCGCACGAACTTTAGTTAATGACAATAAGTCAATCTTAAGCACTTGTTTGAAAACTACTGTATAATTTCGACATTTTTTTTATTAGTATATTTTATTTTAAAATTTTCCCAATGATTTTAAAGAATCTGCGAATTTATTATGTAACTTATTAATTTTGTTAATAATATCATATTAAATAAGCGTTTAGTTTGCGTTATGTTACGTTATTATTAGCAAGTCATATTTTGTAAACGCAATTCGTAATGTACTTGCTTTTGTTACATAAAGTAACGCTACTGCTAAATAACATTACACATTATAACGCAAGACTGTCTTTATTGTATCGGAAATATTTTATTGTGCAATAGTTTTAATTTAATGCAATTAATTTAATGAAATTAATTTAATGCAAGTAATATAATGCAAAATTTAATCATTGCCTGTAATAATTTATTTAAATTCTCAATTTTGGCCGATAAATTGTGGAGAAATTAATTTCACAAGGGTATATTGAAAAATTACTGTAAAAAATAACTTGCTGCAATAATAATAGAAAACTTAAAAGCCATAAAAGAAAACATTATGAAAAAAATTTAAATGTAATGAGAATTTTGCACGAGATAAAACAAATCCTTTTAATATAATAAAGATAAACAATTTATAAAAAAAACTTTCAAATATAGTTCAAGATTTATGTAACATTTTTCAATCCGTTAGTGATTTGTCATTACTGATGCTATCGAATAAAGTTTTATTACTGGAGTTATAATACAAAAAGTGATGGAATAGTTATATGCCGTGTTACAATTCGGACTACGTTCAAGCTACGTTGTGCTTCTATATTAAGTTAAACTAAAGAAAAAAAATTCTTTACCAATTTCCTAATAATTTTGTAAATTTTAATTATTAACTAAAGAAAATTGACGAATGGTCCCTTGCGAAAATATATTTATGTTTTCTAATTAACAACTAAAAATCTATTAAAAGTTATTAGGTAGAGGTAAAATAGAGAACTATTTTGTTTAGTTTTGTTCAGACCTAATGCACAAGTACACGATGCTAGACGTTGTCACTATAACTCATCTATCATATCTCATGTGATCATTCACAAATCTTCTTTATATCTTGATAATTATTAAACGGTATAGGACTTTTATGTTCATCTCAATATGTATTATGTCTCTACGAGCTTCGGAAATTGTTCTGAGACACCCTGTATATAGAGGGTATCCTAGATTCTTCTCCGCAATTTTTGAAGAGAACATAGAACGGATTAAAATGAACATAAAAGTCCTATACTTGCACGGTCCAATAATGTAACGCGCGGATACCGGCGCATGACGAGGGAAAGAACAACGCGTCACTGTTTATGCTTACATCGCGGCGCTTCTACGTCTCGTTGCACCGTCACCAAGGCTCGTGTCGATGGCCGCTGCACATTCGCAATTACATTTATATAAGATCGCACAAGATAAAAGACTTAAAATTGAAATAAAGAGTTTCTGTAATAAAAAAGATCGAAAAAGAGAAAGCGATAGAAACAGATAGAATTTACAGAGAATCTAATCATTTTTATCGTAATGTATCACTGCTAGGGTATTCAATTTGGGATATGATAGAATTCCTGTAGAGACTTAACGTGTCCATCTTTTGCTGGAGTCTATCATGAATAAATCACTGGAAATTTGTCGTAATCAATGGTGAATTAACGATAGGAGAAAATTCTCAAAATTCTCTATCGTATAAGTACAAAAGAAAGTCTATCGTTGTCAATCGCATAGCAACGATATTTCACATTAAAATTGATCCTTAAATATTACGATAGAAGGCGCATTGTAATCTATCGTGAAGTCGTTATGCAACATAATTCTCTAATAAGATACTTAATTTACGAATTTTTACGATTATGAAAGGAGAACAAAGAATTAATCGCCTATCATTTATAATAGGCTTCAATTAAAAACTGAAAAAGCAAACGAAAAAGAGCGATAAAAAGATAGTATACGTGTGCTTTAAACGTGTGTTTAAGTTATTCATGACTTAATATACTTGTACTTTTTAAAGTAGCGAATTGTATATAAACATGCCATCATAAAAGTATAATAAGTACTTGCAAACTGAAATATAATCATTGTCCTTTGGATTTCGTCTTAAAGCTTTCTTCATGTCCAATGTTTGAAAATACTTCCAACAAGTTGGAATAGATAGCATAGTATGTCTATATCGATTAAAATATCAGCAAATACTAAAAATTTCGTAAATACTGTTCAAATGTATTATCATATTTCGCCCTTCTCATTTATCTTCTCCATTCAGCGCGTGTTTTTCCTTAATCTTTTACAATTAATATCTCTATTATTATTGCAAATATTGCAAAATATATATTTGCAAATATTGCAATATATTTGCAAAACATAGGACTTTTATGTTCATCTCAATCCGTACTACGTTCTACAAAAATTGCAGAGAAGAGTCTGGGACACATTTTTTGACCCATGATTATAGGAAACTTTTTGTTCAGAATTAACTTTCCTATAAAATCTCAAAGTCTGGCCAAAAAAGTCAAATCCACCCTGTATATGTTCTACGACCAGAATTGAAAATCAATTAGTTCATGTTATACAGGGTATTTTAGACCACCCGTCTACTTTTTCATTTTGAAAAAAAGTAATACTAGGAAGTTGGGAACGTATGTTTACGTATGTTTACCATAAAAGCTTATTTGAAGTTTCTGATAGTGGTATTTTTATTTTTAGAAAACCTCGAGAAATATTAGAAATCGAAAGAAACTTAACAATTTTTAATAGCAACATAGGATAGTATGGATATCGTTGAATAAAGCTTTTAAAAAGAAATAACTTTTGTTTGAAAAAAATTGAATATCCTACGGAAATGAAAAGATAATTACAGATATTCAAAATGTTTGCCACTTTGATGAAGATATCTTTCCATCCTTTGTCTCACGTTATCGTTTCAGGATTTCTGTAAAATTTTGAGAATAACAAGCTTCCTGAATATGCTGTTCGAACCAAATATAATAAACACACAACATAATAAGTCAGACTCATAATACGGATTACAAACCATATACGGACGACTAATCTCGAAGAGCTTATGGCACACAAGTCTATTGCGTAGTTTATCGACTAATATTCCTTTAGTGAAAATCATGTCTTTTTCAAATAAAGAAGCATTTGAAATGTTAAACGGCAGTTGTTTCTTTTTAAAGGCTTTATTCAACGATATCCATACTATGTTGCTATTTAAAATTTTTAAGTTGCCTTCGGTTTCTGGTATTTTCGGAGGTTTCCCAAAAGTGAAAATACCATCATTAGAAACTTCAGATAGGTTTTTATGGTAAACATCTTATCACTCCTTAAAAAAAAAGAAGTAGGCGGGTCTGAAATACCCTGTACATATATTACATTTTCAGATAACGAAACCTGCGTTATTCCATAACAAACTACTTTAAAAAATTATACATTGTATGCTACTTTCACGCTTTACATTATGAATCGCTTGTTTTTCAGATATTTTTCTTCGGAAGCCTGATGCAAAGAACAGAAAAAAAATTTGAAACAAATTATTTTAAGAAATGATAAAAAAAGTATGCTATTGACGAATCAAGATGAAACTTTCATTATTATAATTGGCAACCCCATTTCAACTAAATTAAACGCTGCAATGTCATGGTAACAGGTCGTTAATAGGAGATTAATAACATTACACCAAATATTGTACTACATTTTTAACGTATACAGATTTTTATAAACTGTTGATTTGTCATGTTAAAAAGATTAAGTATTCCGTAACATTATTTAAGTGCATTCACGTTCATTTTGTTACTTCATGCTTTATTTTACGGTTTTCTACGGTTTTCTACGGTTTTCATTATTGTCATAGTAAAAGTCATTTTTTCAGAAATTTTTTAAATATAATCTTGTGATATAAATTTATCTTCACTATATGTCAATAAAAAATAAGAAATTTAAATAAAGTGCATTACTAATAATTAGAATTTAATTTTAAATTAATTAAAATAACTATACGTATTGAAAAAATGCTTCTATGATATAATAAAGATTATTATGTTGCGTTAAAATATTTAATGTAGTTCAATAACCAGCATTAGTGTTATTTTATGCAACGAATATAAACATATTACGAATTACGTTAAACAGATTATAAAAATATTTACTAGTAATAAACAGCATAATGCAAACTTGACGTCTGTTTATCATTACGTTTGCTGACCACAACATTGTCAACGTAATGTATAAAAATGTATTTATGGAATATATAATCATAAACCACATGTTATAGAGGGTTAAATCCCAAAAATCGTGCGAATTATCACGCCGAACACCTTGTATATGCGTATTCTATAACACAACCGTTACAGTTATAATGCATACATTATAAAGTTACATAATAGGTTTACTGTCGGTCTTAAAAGATTTTCTATGAAAGTGACACATCCTGTGCATATGTGTGTATATGTATATGTACATATGATACAATGTACACAATAAATACACAAAGAATGAGTGAGGGAGGGGTAACTAGATAAATTTATTACACGCTTTGAAAAAAAATTCCCTTAAGAAATTCCCTTAAGAAAGGAGAGGAGAGAGAAGGAATATCCCGACGTTATTGTAATATATTTGAGTTCAGGTTAATGCAAGTAAAAATTCTTATTACATAGTTTAACGGATTATTTACGTAAAAAAAATATGATTATATATAGATATGAAGATTTTTTACCCATATTGATTTTTAGAAAAAAAAATTATTATTGAAATATATTACGATAGTCAGGAACACTCTATATTTATGTATATACATATACACACACATACGCGTGCATACATGTATAGATACGTATGTATGTCGCATAAAGATACGTTTGACACAATTTTGGCGGATAGATTGGCTAGGGCAAATTATGCCTTTATGATTTGCATAATTAATTACACAATATCACACACACACACGCACTTTTTATTTTTTGATTAAAATTACCACCAAGCCTCTATATATCTAAATTTTGGACTTCGCTTTTCTTGCACTTACAATTGTACCATGCTCCTGTTAACAGATAACCGATCATTAGTATAAGAAGATTTATAGAAATTTTTCAGTATGATATGAAAAGACTCTCATTGACAAAATAAATGTTGTAAAGTTATAAACATAATTATAATCTCTTCTTACACAACAATATGAAACTATATTGTTAATTTTATTGGTTTTATCATCTTTTCTTTTTGTTTTTATATTTCATATACGATTTTGTATCATGTATGTTATTCTTATGAAAAATAAAAATAAATTCAGATATATTTTTACATTTTAGTGTACAAAAATTATTTGGTCCCATAGACATAAGACCAGATAAAATGATTTATACAAAAATTATTGTAACATTAATATTGTAATCAAATTTTGTGACATTTTGACAAAACTATAAAAATATTATATACAAGTGAAATTATATAATCAGCTATCTGTCAACATACACAGCACTGGTTAACCTAATACTTATTTCTTAATCATCTTATGTAACATTTTTGTATGTGTCTCTCACATTTAATTATTCTTAGTATAATAATTTTATATTATATACGATAAATATACATATATGGAACATTCCAAGATATGCATCAGTAACAGTACTCTGTTTGACATAATTATATGCAACTCGTTTTTAACAGAAATTTAATTTAAATTAATGTTTTAGTTAAAATAAATAATTAGAAATAACACAAAGAAACAACACAACTGACAGAAATGATAATAGAAATAATATAATTATTCATGAAAAACCCTAAAAATTAATGAAAAAGATAACGAAATCGTAATAATCTGTCATTTGATTGACAACAATAATAAGTTACATTTTTTAGGCTCTTAGCTTACCACGGTATTGGATTGTGACATCAAAAGTTAGAAATAACACGCTAAAAATTTATGCGCCCAAATAAAAAGATATTTGTATAAAAAAAAACATTTTAGATCGTTTGAGCATATTTGTAATATATTCCGAAAACTATTCTTAATAGTCAATAAATAACTATAAAATGAACGTAACAAAAGAAACATAGGTTAAAGAGAAAGATAACATATCATGTTAATTTTATGGCTATTTATTGATCAAGGGAAAAGTTTTCGTAGCATTTTACAAGTGCTTAAGCGATCAGAAATGTTCTTTCATACAAATATCTTTTTATTTGAAAATGGCAAGTAAGAAATTTGAACATATGTTTTCTCGCTGCTGACGAAATATTCAAGAGCTTTAATAGGTAACAATTTATTTTTAAAATGCAATTTTATGAAAACTGATACTGATACATGTCTTTGCTAGACCTTTCCATTCATCTACACAGAAGTTGTCTCAGCATCAATAACCATCTCTTTTTATTTTCTAAATTAAAGTAGATTGTAACAAATAAAATTTTAATGTAATAACTCAAAGTGCATTCTATTTTTATTATAGTGATTATTATTGACACATAGAGAAATAAGGGAGAAGGGAAAAAGGAAGAAAGAATGTGAAATTATGCGTACATTTTTTCGGTAGAAGTATGTCGCTAAGCGTAATTTACAAAAGCGTATTTACAAAATGTTAATCCTCTTAAAAATCAATAATTTTGACATATTTTCAATGTTATGGTCCTAAGTAACAATCAAAAAGTTTCAGCCGTTGCTTATTGTTTATTAAATAATTATTAGGAAAAGAAATTTGAAGAATATGACAATGTAAAAGCTGGAAGATATAATTTGCTGATGCATAATTTTTATATACATCAATATATTACATCCTCACTTAAAATCTCCAGTACATAATAATACAATAGTACATAATTATACAACATTACGAAACAAGAAGAACATCTAAATTTTTTGCCATATTACAAATATATCTTTTTCGTGATATAGTATAAAAAAATATTGAACATGTATAATGTTCATAGTAAATCATATTAATAAGATAAAAATATGTAAATAATATTATAACTAATATGTAATAAATATTAGTTTCCAATACTCATTTATATATCCTTTTTTGTTAATAATATTTTAATATAAATAATGAGAGACGGCTAAAACTTTTTCAATGTTATTCAGATCTATAATCTTGATAACATATTTCAAAGTCATTGACTTTTTAGGGAATTAACCTTTGTAAATATTTATCGCGCTAAGAAATGGATCATATTTACTGTAAATTTTAAAACTGTGTGCAGAGAGTAATTGTTGTTAACCATAATGATATCTGACAGACACACTGAAGGATCATAGAAGGAGGAGGGCATACTAGGTGGCGGCGGGACGCCGTGCGTTCGAGATCTGCGTATCTTTTTCGTTCCAGAAAGAGAAAAATATCGAGAGCGCGATCTTGCTAGGCCGGGACTCGAACCCGGGTCTTTCGCTTGCCGGGCGACTGCTCTAAACTACTGAGCTACCTGACGCTCCACGCTCACGACACTCTCCTCTTCCTAGATAACGCTCAGAGATATCGTTCAACATTTTACACTGCAAAGTCTTGTTATATAAATTTACGATTTAGTTTTGCTAGTCTTATCTTATTTGTTTTTAAAATCGTAAGAATAGGTTTATAATAGAAATCAAAGCATGCTACTAATTACAGTCTTATTTACTATATCTTCTGTGGTTAAGAAAATAAAAGCGGATAGCCGTTTATGCTGAGACACCTTGTGGATGTATACAGGGTGTCCCGTATAAAAAATATATAAATAGAACAGAGAAAAGTGAAAAATATGGTCGAAATCATTTTTCGAACAACCACATAAAATTTCGAGTTATTAAATAAAATAAATAGGATAATCAGAGCGCGCGACGCGACAGGCGAGACATACGGTTCGCCGCGGCCAGCGAAAAAATGGATTGCTCACGAGCCTATCTCATAGGCCCAGAGGTGATGACTACGTCTTAGATCTCACACTGCATGATAGATCCGCAAGCAATCGTCCATTTTCTTCGCCGGCAGCGGCGAGCCGTATGTCCCGCCTGCCGCGTCGCGCGCTCTGAATAGCCCATCTATAATATTTAATAACTCAAAATTTTACGTGGTTGTTCGAAAAATAACCTTTACAATATTTTTTCGCTCTTATCTGTTCTATTTATATTTTTCTTCTTAGTCTTATGCAGGATACTCTGTATAATAAGTAAATCTCTTAAGCCCGATATAATAATTCTATACAAATACACCGATTTCTTAATAGATTGAAATTCCTGACAACAGCTTTTTTTAATGGATACTGTTACACTTAATGTCATTGAGCTTATGTTGTTATAATAATGATAGTTTTCATTTTGTTACAATGCAGTTACAAACGATAACTTAATGTCTGTAAATAGAGCAATTCTCTTTGTGATATGAACTGTCTGTCGAAGTATAGGCAGCTTATAAGTTGAAATATGATCTTGTTATGTATATTTATAACATTGAATGCATTATAGACATAAAAGGAGAAATTTCTCTCTCTTTCTCTCTCTCCTCTACATGCATATTTTTTTTATTTACAATTTTAAAATTTTTCCTTGAATAATTAATGTGTCGTATCACACACACACACACACATACACACACACACGCGCGCGCGCGCGCGCGCACGCACGCAGGCACGCACGCACACACACACACACACACACACACACACATATATATAATCGTAAATCTAAACGTTACAAAAAAATTGTAATATATAATAAAACTCTGATTATACAAAATTTATATTATATCGACAAAAAATTTTGTTTTCTTTATACTATGAGAAATGATAAATTACAATAAGACTCAGAACAGAAAATATTGATCATAGCCTCTTTTTATTTCACCTTAATGATAATTCATTTCATAATTAAATAATTTTATTTGACAATTTTGAGATTTTGTATTATTTACACATAATTTATAAAAAAAATTAATCTCAAGAAATCTACTACAAATCCTTAGAGATAATACATATTTAAACAAGTTAAATTTCTTATGTATATATATAGTGCATGTACATGTATACATATAGTGCATGTACATGTATACATATAGCGCATGTGCATTACATGCATACGTCGCATATTTTTTTGTAAGCACAATCGCACTAGAGCCTTGCGAAAAGTGCTATATTAAAAATTACATTTTGCTTAACTAAAAAGCAAAAAATTAAATAGAAATCTTAACTTCTTATCAAACTACTTGGACGCATGTAGTTTAAGATCGTTTATTTGGCAACAGTTTCTTTAAACATTTCTCCCTTTATGTCCCAAAGCAAATCTAAACGTTGCGCACGCATAATATACATATATTTGAATGACAAAGTGCTAAAATTTGTAAAGAAATAGATACAAAAAATTAACATAATCACAGTTGTTTGGCAGGCTTGCGGGCGAGCGCGACGCAGGCATGATGCGTTTGGACAGGCTCTTTCGACGCAAATACCTCGTTTTTTTACATGGTTTTATCACTTGGTCGATAATAGTACTTCCTAATAGCCTGTTAAGCCTTCGGCATTGACATATTGAGTCTTAAACATAGTCGTTTGTTCCAGGACTCGTCAATGGTTCCTGGGCCTGTGTGTAAAAAAATAAGTACAACCACATTGAATAATTTATTTATATTTCTTTATAATTGTAATTTCTATAAAAAAAAAACAAAGAGAAGATAGATAAAATTAAATTTTATAATGTTTATAAGAAATAAATATAAAGAGATTTAAATAAATATGGAGAGACAGAAGATTTCATGAAAATTGCTACAATTAAGAAAAATTAAAAATATCAAGTTAAAGTCTAACAATTTTACCTCTTCTCCAACTGTTGCTGTGGGAAGCGGGAATCTGTTCTTTTCAAGACTAAACTGATCCTCCGTAGTCTTTCTATAGACGGGATTGTCAAAGTTCATACTAGTGACATTACGATGAAGATAATGCCTGTAGCAAAGTACAGCTACAAGTGCAAGTAATAATAATCCTAAGGACACTACGCCTATCACAATACCGGCGACTAAACCAGGATCTGCTGCTTCAGCTGCTAAACTTCCCTTCCCATCTGCTGAAGATAGTGGATCTAAAAATAATAACAATTTATTGTAAAAATTTTTTAAATCAATATAAATCGTGAGTATTTCGATATAAAGATTCCAATAAAATTTTCGGATATTTCCAATGTCCACTCTTTATTATGTAGTAAATTATTAAGATTAATTATTAAGATTAATTATTAAAATATCAAATTCAATTTAATTCTCAAACAATATAAAATCACGATATTGCTTAAAAACGATAAGGATTAAAAATGTAAGTGCAATAAGAATACTAATATAAAAAACATGCAAAAGCTAAGAGAGAATTCTTATCTCTTATTGTTTTTTTTTATATTATATTAATTCTTATATTATTATATTAATTCTTATATTATTATTTAATGTTAAAGAAACATGCAGGATATATAGCATACTTATTTTATGCATAAGATGACACGAATAAAAGTATGTTTATAGGAATATATTTAGATATGTTTCATGAATTTCGAGGAATTTTTAATGTTATATAGCAGATAAAAATAAATGACATATTTTTTATATATATTTTTTCAAACGTTTATGAGTTGAAAGAATCCCCTTGAAAGTAATTTAGTAACGTTAAATGTTAGCAAATATTTTCGAATTTGTCACAATATATTACATAAAGATTTTACGATATACAGGGTAATTATAAACTTACAAACTTTATAGAAAACATAAAAAACATTGAGATAAATACAATGGACGGGATAATATTGCAATCTACGTAAAGTTTCGAGAGAAATTGCTAAATATGTGAGCGAATAAACGCGCGGTGTGCGGGCGTTGCGAGCTTGCTACTTCGCGCGGCCGGGCCGGAGCGGCAGGCGACAAAGGTGGATTGGCGCGTGATCGCCTCTTAGAGACTCTTCAAGAGAGACTGGACAAAGCGCCTACAAAATGGCGACCGTCAATACGTGAGCTCGTAAGAAGTGCATGGTCTGTACTTTTTCGCTGCACTAGTGCAATAAGTAGAGTGAGACGAATATATTTTTTCTCACTCTAACTTATATTGGCGCTGCCATTTAGTAGGCAAAAGTCACGTGCACCAATCACACGGAGCTCCGTTATGTCCAGTCTCTACTCAAGGTTCTTTAGTCACCTCTAAGCCTGTCGCCTATCGCTCCAGCCCAGCCGCACGGAGTAGAAGGCCCGTGACGCCCGCCCACCACGCGTTTATTCGCTCATATATTTAGCAATTTTTCTCGAAACTTTACATACTAGATTGCAATATTAACCCAGCCATTGTATTTATCTCGATGTTTTTTATCTTTTTTATAAGTTTTGCAAGTATATTTAGTTTTACAAAAATTAAAATATTAGAGATATTTCATCCTTTCATATAGAGGAAAACAAGACAAAATAAAGTTAAACGCAAAGGTGACCATATTTCCTACATTAATTAAAAAAATAAGAATTAGAAACTATGCAATTCAACTGCAACCGTTTGTTTGCCTTACAGTATCGGATACACCCACATACTCCCCCCCCCCATACACACACACATACGCACGCACGCACACAAAATATACTATCACAGTATCCGAATATCGCATATAATGGAATATACAAGATGTAAATAAGAATATACATGTAAATATATTATTAAGAAATTTTTGTTAATTCTGACTACACATTCTGGGTTCTCAGAAACACCAGTAAAATTTTGAAATTCTATTATTGGTAGAATTAGTAAGTAAAAGAGTTATGACTGCCTTAGAAGAAATGTTTGGGGTCTTTTCAATAGCTTGCAGAGGCAGGAACATTCAATTGCCGTTAGATTGTATAATTATGTCAAATTAGTCTCGCAGAGAGACTCTAGTGTGTTATCCGTGAAACTTTTCTGCAATAAATCTTGTTTATTTTATTTCGAATTGATAGTGTAAGTTTATACTTAAAACAATATCCAGCTATATTTTTATTATTTTTCCTTAAATATATTGCTCATAAACACTAATAAGTTATATTATAATAGAGAAATTTTTTTCTTTGTGCAAACGCACAAAATAAAAAAGCAAATTGTGCCCATGAAATAACCTAGATAGCATAATAAGTTCCTAAAATATTCCCGAAGTATTCTTCTTCCTTGAACATAATTTCTTTAACGGTAATTCTTTAAGAATGCAGTTCTTTAGCTACACTACTGAACTGGTGCAATAAGAGTGAGACAAGTAAAATTTATCTATATAAGTTAGAGCTATTTAGCTCTAACTTATTGTTTTACAAATGGCATCCAATCATAAGAAGTTATTCCTTTCAGTGGATTCCCTCTCAATTAGGGGATACGAATCAGGACTACTTTCTCTACTCGCGTTCAAGTTCGATCTCCTTATTTCTTACTTCACGGTTGCGCCATTTTTTAAAAAAATTTATCCGTTAAGCTAATTAAACCGTTTCTAATGCTACGATTTCAATCGGTGATATTGCAATAATCTGTTCAAGCACTTATTAAAAGCGTTAAATTTAGAAAATATGGCTCATAAAGCTCAAAATTATGGCAAATTGAAAAAAGAATACTATGCGGATTTTGTCTACATGAAAAAATAAAAAAAAACTCTGTGTATCCATAACACAAAATTCCTTAATGTGAGTTTCACTGATCATGATTGCGTACAAAATATAGAGAAAATTGATAAACGTATATGTAAACGTATATGTATGTTGTTTTTTTCTTAAATTTTATATTACTTATATTATTGTATAAATAAACATGCATTATAAGTCATTAAGTTTGTATTTATTAACATAAATCCTAATTTTTTATACCAATCTGTTTCAATCGCCAGGAAACAGAAACTTGAAAATTCATCATTTTTATTGATAACAATCTTACAACTTAGTTGATAATAATCAAAATTTTAAACGCTAAATGTTTCTGATAGATTGAAATATACCTTTTTAAAATCAAAGATTATTTTATTTATTTCTATTGACAAAAAAGTCATAAATTTTTTAAGGAACCTCGGTAAAATGACGCTTTTCTTCAATTATAAAGTAATTAATATTTATTTTAACTCATGTTTTTCGGTCTCATTATAATTTTAGACCATATTTTAGTTAATTTACACTCAATTAAAAAAATTAATCACAATATGCTAATTTCCTCAAGCATTATAGTATAATGAAAAAACTGGCGGGAATTCCATAGTGTGGTAACTATGTATACGAAAAGTGTATACTGGTTAAAAAAATTTATATACTATAGTCATACAGTTCCGATGTCGACACATGATAGTAATATTAAATAAAATATTTTTTCTAAATTCATTTCAAAAAGTTCACCTTATTTTCTTTTTAATAGATAAATACTTGTTTTCATAGATACATTCAGCTTATTAGTTTGCATACAAAATTATTAAAGTAAGATTATCAAAAAATTAGTATTCCTTGATATATTTTTCATTTTATACTGATATACTTTACTTGACATATATAGGGTGTCCCAGACTCTTCTCCGCATATTTTGTGGACATGTAGAACGGGTTAAGGTGAACATAAAAGTCCTATACCGTTTTGCGATATTCGCAATAATAACCAAGAAATTAATTGTAAAAGATTAAGAAGAAACGCACGTTAAATGATTGAGGGAGGAGCGACTCAATAATATATCAGGCAGATGTCAACGTGCGGCTTATATTGCTATGATTCTACGTCTTGTCGCACCACACCGAGGCGAGATGTAAGAGTGTAGCGATGTAAGTATAAATAATGGTGCGTTGTTTTTCCAATTACCGCGCGCCGACATCCATGCATTATATTATTAGGCCGCGAGCGCTCCTCCCTCAACTATTCAGCGTGCGTTTCTCCTTAATCTTTTACAATTAATTTCTCGGTTATTATTGCGAATATCGCAAAACGGTATAGGACTTTTATGTTCACCTCAACCTATTCTACATTCCTACAAAATATGCGGAGAAGAGTCTGAAACACCCTGTATAAGATATGTGAAATATTTTATAAATTATTCAATCTTCGATGATCTTATATTGATATTTTTATATATAGTATAAGAAAAATCTCGATAACTTTTACATTTGTATCAATATTTTTTTTAAATGGAGTGGAATATTTTTTATGGTTTTTTGTTTTCATCATATCAATCAATTTCACTTGTCACTCTAAATATCAAGATAAAGTTGTTTATAAATATAAAATGAGAAATATCATAAAATGTATCCATTTTTCGACGATCTTATTTCAATATTTGTCTAATTAAATTAGAAAATATAATAAATTTACGTAAAAAAAAGAAAAACTAAATGATTTTATTATAAAAATTAAGTTGATCTTGAAATAATCTTGTCTCCTGGATGTTCGCCATGTTGATTTGTGATATTAAAGGCGAGAAAAGACACACTGAAAATTCTTGCGTGAAATTTTCAAATAAAAAGGTGTTTAAATGAAAAAATATTTCAGATCACTCGAGTATATTTGTAAAATGCTCTGAAAATAATCCTTTCCCTTGATAGTTAATAACCCAGCAAGCAATCTGCGCGCAGACTGACGTCAGACTGGCGACAGGATCTGTCGAATTCGAGCAAGATCTGTCGACAGATCCATAGACATCTGCGTCTCCAATCTGCCGGCAGACTGTTGACAGAGTCTGTTCTGCGAACAGACTCTGACAACAGACTGGCGGCAGATTGCGCGCAGAGTCTGCCGACAGACTCTAACGGCAGATTGCGTGCAGATTGTGTGCAGATCCTGTCGTTTCGTAGGTTCTTCAATTAGATTTTTGTTAGAAAATTTTCTCATACCTTTTCATAATTACTCATAGAATAAGCGTTTTTTTCATAAATACTCATAAATAGTTGTAAAATAAATAAAAAAAGTTTTTCTATATTATTTTTTCATAATTTTTAAGATTTTCTGAGATTCGAACTTGAACCGAAGACATCTTTTGGATAATCGTTCGTCGCCTTAGGCACTACGCCAATTCCTCACTTGATAAAAAATGTTTTATATTGCCCACTCAAATTTTAAGGAAGAAAAATCTTAGAGTTGT